GATCAGTCGTCCATTGTGGCATCAATGTGATCACACCTTGTTTTGTTGTAAAGGGTGACAGGGCTTGGCTTCCTTTTGGTAGTGGAGCATTGATCAGGAAGCCAAGCCCTATATATATGATACAATCTCACTGCACTTAGCCTAATCCTTCATTGCCCTGAAGAATTCTGTGGTGTACGGACCTCCTCTCCAAGGAAAGAAAATGCAGAGAAGACTGACCACTCAGCAGGCCTTGGAAATGATCCTGAGGGAAGTCGACCCTTGTGACTCGGATGGAGAAGACCTACAAGTTCAGCCGGATTCGGACTCAGAGCTGTCTGATCAGTCTTCCGGTTAGTTGCATTTCATGTTATTTCCTATTTCATTTCAAATAAGTAAGTGGATGTAGTTTGTAAGTAAGATATTTCAGACATTATTCTGATACAGAGGAGGAGATACTGGACCTTCCCATTGCTCACAATTTGAATTTGTTCACACTGCAGATGAGGAGACTGCTTCTGCACCTAAAAAGAGAGCTTGTTTGGGGACTGAGACAGCGAAAGATGGCACAGTGTGGCGTGAAGAACAGGTGGGGACCTGTCTCCCTTTCACCCCAATAGAAGCGTACGCTGCAGATGGAGAGCCAACGGCTAAGGCCAGGAGAAATATCACGAGTCGCCTTCAGAGCTTCCTGTGTTTCATCACTCTTGACATGCTTCATAGCATTCAAGAATGGACTATTCAACATGCACAGCAAACGGAGCATGTTCATTGGTTCATGGACCTCCCTGAACTAATGGCATTTATTGCAATTGTCATCTTGCGGGGGGTTACCAGGGTTCCATCTGTAAATGACTGCTGGTCAGCAAACCTGGGAAACCCACAGATAATTGGAACTATGGCACGAAACCGCTTCCAAAACATCATGCAACACCTACGCTTTGATGACAAGTCCACCCGCAGTGATCGAGCAAAGACTGATAAGTTCGCTGCAATTTCCAGTTTGTGGGGATCATTTGTCACCAACTGCATCACGTGCTACAACCCTGGTCTACATATCACCGTTGATGAACAGCTTTTCCCATCAAAGACTCTGTGCAGTTTCCTGCAGTATATTGCAAGTAAACCTGACAAGTTTGGGATCAAGTTTTGGGTGGCTTGCGACCTAAAATCCAAGTACATTTGCAATGTCTTCCCATATCTTGGCAAGGACCCCAGTCGTCCCACTGGGGAGAGACTTTCTGAAAATGTAGTAATGAGGCTGATGGAACCATTCCTAGACAAGGGCAGAAATGTTACCACGGACAATTTTTTCACATCGCTTTCACTTGCGCAAAAACTTCTTAGACGGAAAACCACCATCCTCGGCACAGTCAACAAGATTCGCAGGGAAATTCCTCAATCCACTAGACAGACAGATCGCAATGAATTCACCACTCAGGTATGTTGCAGGTCTTTTGTGGTTCTATGTTTATGTGTTTCATTGTGTGTAAAAGGGCTATGGAAATAACAATTTATCTTATTTCTTAGGTGTTTTCAACCTCTGCTGCCACGCTGACGGCGTATGCGGCCAAACGGAAGAAGACAGTCTATATTCTTAGCAGCATGCACAGCGTGGTTCAGACTGATAACACTACCAAAAGGAAGCCAAACACTGTCACCCTTTACAACAAAACAAAGTGTGGCGTGGATGTGATGGACCAGATGGTTCGGGAGTACACTGTCCGCAGAGGAACACGGCGCTGGCCAGTTGCCGTGTTTTATAACATGATTGACATGGCAGCACTGAATGCACATGTGCTGTATCAAGCATGCTCCGGGACGAAGGAAAGACGGGTGGACTTCCTGGTGGAGCTTGCAAGGGAGTTAGCTCACTCTCATGTAGCTGCGAAGAAGGCAAGAAAAGAACAGTTGCCTTTGACACAACCCTCCACACCGAGCCCTGGAAAAAGAGCCATGTGTCAGGTCAAACACAATTGCAAGAACAATCATGCCACTGTGCGATGTGTTCACTGCAACAGATACACATGTGGTAAATGTAGACTACAGATACCATGGCAGTGCCAGGATTGTGAGTGATTGCTGAAAATGTTGGAATGTACTCACTCACTTTTTATTATTATTTGTAAAAATGTGTACAAATGGTTGATTTTTTGTACTGTTTTTATCAATAAATCTCAGCAACAAAGGACATACACCCATGTGTGTTGATTTCTCCCTAAGATGGCAAACTGAAACACTCCAAGTTGGTGACTTTTGGAGATTTATTTCCCTGGATGATTGAGAATGCATCAAGATGAAACACAAAAGGAAGTGCACAGCTTTTAGCAGCTCCCCCACGCCCTCAATCACACACCCCCACTCCCCTCCCTCCAGAATTCCCAGGTAACAACCTAATATACATATGAATGACTAGCCAATTTAGCTTCCACTTGGCTGAAGCTAAAGCTTAGCTAAAAGCCTACCAGCCATTTGGCTGGTGGCGGGTTTTAAAGGTAGAAAGGTAGAAGCCTGGGACTGCCAGTAAACCTCCTCCTCGCTTCGAGCCTCCGCTGTCTCACCGTCACCTTCTTTCTTCTCTTCTGTCCGTGACCTCTGCATCCCCGATGTGTTTTCCTCCAAATTTCAGCTGGTACTTCTGCGGGCCTGGCCAGCGAGCCGGCCGGCATCAGGGCGATCAGCTGATCTCTGGAGTAAACAGTCCGTGCGTGTAGGAGATGTGCCGCGGTCCCGTTCCTTGATAAAAGTAACAGTTCCACGGCCACCAGAAGAACAAAAACTCTCTCAATCCACATGATTGAGTAAGAGATAGAAAACGGAGGGAAATACAAGTCAGAAAAAAAAGAATACGTAAGAAAAAAGAGCTAAACTAAGAGAAAAGCAGGAGCGACTGTAACAGGCTGCACGCTGGTTGGCGCATGTGCACTGAATGGACATAAGGAGCTTCTTTCAAAGAAAAAACTCAGGTAGATGTTATTTTATATATTATGCTTTGGATGTTGTTCAGTATATCTATGCAAAACAAGAGGAATTTCAATACAAAGCAGTATATTCACAGTTGAAACCAGATATTTACACTTTAGGGAGAAAACATAAAACTTTTTTTTACTGTTAAACATCAATTTAGAGTAAACTTTTGTTTTAGATAAATAAATGTTGAAATATCTTTTGAATTAGTTAAATGTCAGAATAAAAAGAGGGAGCTGTCTATTTTAATCACTTTCATCAAATGTAGGAGTACATATACTCTAAGTTTATTGTTAATTAATAAGAAAACTCCAGACGATTCCATTCTGAGCTGAAGAAGCTTCTGATAGGTTAGTAGAGTCCATGTGAGTAAACTGGTGGCACAGCTGTGGATGCATATAAGGCAAAACACAGAGCCTGTTTCTTTGACATGGGAAAATCAAGAGATGTCAACCAAAACAACAGGAAAAGAATTGTGGAGCTCCATAAGTGTGGCTCAATTTGAATACAATTTGGTGCCATTTACAATTAAGAAATACAGACAGGTTCTCTCTTTACTCTTAAAGTTAACAAATATGTTTTTATATTAATCAATCTAAAAAAATAAACATTTAGTCTGATTTGATGTTACAATTAAAAAAGTGTTTGTGTTTTTATCTGAAGAGTACATAAATATCTGGTTTCAACTGTATATTTGATGATGTTGGTGTTTGGCTTGATTGTCAGCACAAAGAGGGAGAGAGAGGAACAGAGAGGGAGAGAGAGACTGACAACAGAACAGAGATGGAACAAGAGCAGGTGAGACACACATGTTAGTCAAATGGTTGTTTGCCAAAACTCATCAGAACATGTACCTAGTGTTTCTTTTTAGATACCATTTGTTCCTTTTCAAATTCTATATTTATTAAGTTATGCAGGCTTGTTTGCAAAACAAGGCTAAATAATTATATAAACTTTTCTCAATCTAAATAGTGGACTTTGGTAGAATTAAAAAATACGTATAGTGCAGGTCTATGATAATTTCTAGTGGTACTATCATCTGGTTCTGTCTTGGTTACTGTTGTAGTCCCGTTTTAATTTCGGATCAGTTCTGGGTCTGGTTGAATTGGGGTTTAGTCCCTGTGTCTTGATACAGGCCCGACTTTGTTCTGCCTTGCTGCTTAATTAAAAAACTAGTTTAAGGTGTCCTGCATATGTATATATATATAGAATAGCATCTGGCTGCAGTTTAAAGACTTTTTTGTCTTGGTCTTGGTCTCATCTCGACTTGGTCTCAGTCGTGGTCTCGTCTCGACTTGGTCTTGGTCTCGATACCCTCTGGTCTTGGTCTTGTCTTGGTCTCGGATTAGGCGGTCTTGACTACAATTCTACTGTACGGTGCTTTTATCAAGGCTTCCATTGGGTAGTCTTTTGAAATAAAATTTGCCTCCGATTAGTCCTAGCAACGTGCTTTCTGATTCTTCCATTTTTGTAGTTCTGTGCATCAGTATAATCGATATACCAGGACATCATGCATTGACAAAAGTTCCCCTTTGCTTGGATCACAAAGGGTGATTAAATGTGTAAATTTTTTAACGCATTTTTAAAAGATTCATTAATTGCGATTAACACGTTAAATTCCCACCCCCAATATTATGAAGTTCAATCAGAATTTTTGCTTTTCACTTTTAGAACGGTTCAATAAACACATTGTCCTGATATTTTGGAGAACAAACTGTACCTACCTGTGCTCCACCTTTGAATTCACATACAGTATGATTATAATTCACAACCAAAAATGGAAACCAGATGTTATTGTGGATGTTTGAAGTAATTGAATGTCTGGAAATTTCTCTCAGGTCAAACCAATCAAAACAAAAATTATACTTCAACAAACCTGTTATTTTTTCCAATATCAGATGTGAACTTTTGATTACAGAATGAAAACTGAGTTCAGGGGTCAGTAAAAGAAGACACGTCTTTGATAAAAATGTGAGATTATGCTGTCCAGATGTTCTAAAATCAGTGTGGATACAGTGGATATAGACTGAGAATCTAAACATGTCACACGTTACCTGGGATGAGTTTATCACTCCGGGCATCATAGAGCATCCCTAAGGTGAAAGGTCGACCCAGAGCAGCCACCTCCATTATTTTTGAGTCCATGTTTCCTACACAAATAAAAATATACAGACAGTTTTGTGGAAAGCACAGCAAAGTTAATCCTACTGTAAACGATAAAGTGCAAATTAATCAATTTGAAAATAAAACAAGTAAAAAAAAAACGGACAAAGACCGGACTAAGACCACCAGGTACCAGAACAGCTTCTTCCCTACAGCCGTCAGACTCCTGAACTCTGCCTCCTCACATCTGACCCACATTAAGCTCATGGACTGAACACACACACACAACCACCTACAACCGATACACACAATAGACAAAATAAACAAATGGCCGACTGAACCCTCATACACACAATAATAACATGGACTGAACCACCACTTACAACCACCAGAACTTCATATAACCACTGTAGAAATTAGCCACATATCTGACTGATCTAAACTGCACTGTTAGTAAGTAAGTAAAGTAAGTAACATTTATTTATATGGCACCTTTCGAGATAAAATCACAAAGTGCTTCACATAAGCTAGAACATAAAACAACATCAACCAAAGGCAAGTTGAAAAAGATGGGTTTTTAACTGTTTTTTAAGAGAACTGACAGAGTCTACAGATCTCAAACTCAATGGTAGAGAGTTCCAAAGTCTGGGAGCCACAGAAACAAAGACTCTGTCACCTTTTGTTTTTAATCTAGTGTGCTGGACAACCAGCAAGCCCTGGTCACAAGACCTCAGGGACCTGCTGGTAATCCCACCGACTCTATGGGAACATTACACAGACACTGATATCTGTTGATAAAGTGTGATGGAAGTTTTTAAATAAACTGCAAACACTTGATGAGCATCTTGTGATCTGGCTTAATACTATGCTGCAGCAGAGAGAGCACTCTGATCAAACACCACACTGGTCTCTGACAATGGGCGCTAGCTTGTGGCTTATATACCAAGTGAAAACAACAACTTTTGATTTTTCAATAGGAAGAGGGCCATGTGACACATCAAACTTGTTGGTAATGTCACAAGAAAAACAATGGTGACAAAACAACAACAAAAGTTGTATCCAAGATGGCCGACTTCTAAATGGCCACCATGGTCACCATCCATCCTGAGGAGTTTGCCCCCTCACATATACTAATGTGCCACAAACAGGACTTTAATATCACCAACCATTCCCATGTTATTACGGTGTATCCATATAAATGGCCCACCCTGTACAATGACTTTAGTATATTGCAAAGTGTTACTACTTTCAGCCACTAGGGACAGTGGGTAGTTTTACACGGGATGTCCTTCTTCTGACTCCAGCTGGAATCAAACCAGCAACCTTTCAGTTCCCAAGTGAATGTGTAAATCACAATGCTGTGAAGCCACTCAAAATTTGGGTTGGAAATTTATACACTAAAAAAATTGTGATTTTGTCTTAAGATGTGAGTGACATTTAAAGTGTTTAGTGAAATTTGGAAGCAGTTCACAGAACTTAAATAAAGTTGCAAATAAAAAGTTTAAATAAAAGCATCAAAGATCCAATCGCAATAGAGATTGACAGACCACGTGACTTTCGCGCATTGCATGCCGGGAACTCGTAGCAAAACAATTCAAGTACCGCATCAAAAGCAAGCATTTGCAGCACCGCAAAACGTTCATTCTCCGGTTCCAATACCTTCTTGCTTTTTCTTTGCCCCCCAAAAAAGTAATGTACAAAACGAAGGAGAACAATGCCGGTCTGTACAAAGACAGACTTGATGAAAAGTCAAAGAAAAGATACGAGGAAAAAATCAAAGGAGTGAAAGGGTCAGACCCTTACGAGCACACAGAGTGGACAAAAGACGTTAGCGTGCTGCCCAACTTTCACCACGCTCATATTTATAATTATACGGTTCTTGGAGTGAGTGCATACACTCGTGAAGTTTAGTAACTTCAGGTCACTGCAACAAGCCCAGGAACAGTTTACCGACGGATGGATAAAGGACCTTGAAATGCACCGTGTAGAACGAAAGACCATCGTACGAACAAAGGTAAGTTTACCAGTCTCACAAATCGTCTTCATAAATACACATTCGTTAACCGTTTATTAATAGGACCTTTGAGCTCAACGGTAATTAATCAGTAGTGGAAATAATTTCTGGTTCGCGTTACAGAAATGTAGCAGTGACAATAATACTGTATGCTGTAATCGTACTCTGCAATTAGTGATACAAAAGAACTGTTTTATCCTGTGAATAAAAGTATATGTTTTTGTCAATGTACCATAATAACAGAAGCGAAACACAATATTGTGTCAGGACAATTCACTATTTATGCACAATAAATAAAGGAGCATAGCGCGACAATTTCTGTTCAGCGCCAGACTTGCTTGTAACCTATATCACCAATTATGTTATGAAAATGACATAATAACTACAACAGAAGACTGACCTTCGTGGAAATGCTTGAAGCAGACTAACACGTGAGCTGGAGTGTTCTGCAACGTTATATTTGGTCTTTGAATGGCTGCAATCCAGGCCATCCGTCGCCTCTTTGTCACTTTGGAAACATGGCTGAACAATTTCTCTTCAACGACGTAATCCGATAAAAACAATCTCTTTACCCGTCGGCTTCCCGTGGCTGTCATGCGACCGGCTGTTGCAGTTAATAATACAACAGCTTCTTGCCATTTTTGTGTTTCTTTTTTCGCTGTGTAACTGATTTCAGTTGAAAGCCTGCGAGCACTAGTACCTCGAGTTCCCAGAATCCTTTGCGGTTTTACCCCTGAATGACGTCACATTTTCAATCTCTATTAAGTGATCAGGCCAACTAAGTTTGGTGGATTTTTGGGTGACATATGTACCTATGTAACTATATACTGCACTGAACATATATATTTTAACTTTCACCCAGAGTCTTTAGCACAAGACATTTTGCTTCACAATGGTTTATTAAGGTTATTATTTACATGTATAATATAAGATTATGGTAGTTAATGCTGTTGAGAGTTCTCCTGAATAACTCACTCTCCAGCTCCAGTAACTATGTCCCCCCAACACTCAACGTCTTTCATGCAGCACAATCATAACAGTTACATTATAACAGAGATACTGAATATATACAATAAAATCAACTTAAAGATCAGACGATAAATTCTCTCTCACACACACACACACACACACACACACACACACACACACACCTACTATAAACCTACAATGAGAATAAGCACGTAACCTATGTAGTTAGGTCGGGCATTATTTACATGTATAATATAAGATTATGCCACATGCTGACTGTCTGTTATAAGATTTCATTATTTGGATTAATGTGTTATGTTTGCCTGGGTTGTGACCTATTGTGGTAAGCCAAAGCAAAGGGTAGTCAGAGTCCTGACTTCCCTTTGGGCAAGATCTTGGCTGGTACCCGACCCTGCAGCCGTGTTTGGCTGGAGGATGAGCTGGAAAGTTACCCAGCAGAGGGTGGGAATACTGGTCCCTATATATTAGGGGACCAGATGACACCCCAAATCCTCTTTTTCCTGCTGCTATTTTCTGTTCATCCCTGTGTTTCTCTGCTGTCTGTACTTAAAGCTGTACATTTGCTTTGCTTGCCTTCTGCTATGTATCATCTTGCTATACTTTGTATAGATTTTCTTGCTGTTCATATGATTCGGTTTATTAAACTCTGTTCAAAAGAATTCTACTCTTTTCCAGCATCTTTTTGAGTGCCTTGATTTTATTTGGATCTAAAAAAGTTGGATCTCCACATCGTTGGTGAGATAAGGTTATCAGGATGGCTTCAAAAAAAAGCAACGGCACACCAAACAAATATGCAGAATTGGTTAAGTTTGTCTCCATTTTTCTTTGGCTCTCGGAGGAGGCGGACGCACTTTTCTCCTCTCTCTTATCTTCCCTGCTAGTTCTTATGTCCTTGTCTTGTCTCGTGTCTTTTTTGTATTACTTTCCCTGGAACACCCTCTCACAGTCTGTGTCTAAAACCTAAAAGAGAATTATGGATTTGATCAACTGGTCTCTGAATGCTATTGACACCCTTTAACGAGAAGTCTGGGCTCGGGAGAGCCCGAGTGCCCTGGAGGGACTTTCCCTGCCGGATACACGATGGACGGGTGGCAGAGGATCGTGCGCCTGGCGGGACTGTCGATCGAGGACGCTGAAGATATCTACCTATTCGGAACCATCATAACAGGGTTCTTGCTGATCGGAGCTGGCTTGGCCCTAGCCTGTCGGAGAATTAAGAGAGCGGAACCGGTTGTTCAAACCCCCACAAGGCTGCCCGCTGGGATTAGAACGACAGGTGCGACTTCTCAGAAAGGGCTCACTGAAGGCAGCATGGTTAAGAGCTTAGAGGCGCTTACGACTGCAGTGAATGCTCAGAATAACACCTTTGAGCGTATGTATGTTGGATTACATCAGGAAAGAATCAACTCAGAACAACATCTCTGGGCGGAAGCTACATCTTGGCTCAGTTGGCTGCAGTCGTGAGGTCTCAGAATCTGCTATGTGAGCAAAAAAGAGTGACAAGACCACAAAATCGATGGCTAATAACATCACGGAGAAGCTCGCAGCTACTAACGGGAGATTGAGAGACGAGTGTCAGAGTGTTAAAAACAGCTTGAAATTCTCATGAGTTGTTTGCAAAAGAAAAATCACCATCATAATGCGGCTACCCCTCCGGCGCCAGCTGTGGGCTCATGGCTGGAGCCGAACAAAAACACCCTGATAACGACTGTGTTGAGTCTGTTCCTTCCCATTCCCTACAAGGCCACCTGGGTTGGCTGGAAGACTGTTACTTAGCCTGGCAGGGCGAAGGACACTGTCTGAGCTGAACTATGGACACACATACATATACTGATAAGCACTCACTGACGCATCACCCTCCCTATCCAACGCCACCTCCAACGCTTACCTCCCCCATGATGTGGACATCGGGTCAGCTGGAGGCGCAGTCGAAAGATTGTAGCGGTCCCAGATCAGATGTACACACTGGAACTCTTTCCCATGTTGCTTGTCTGTGTTTATTGTGCTATGGTGTGTTGTTACCTGTGCATTCCTGTAT